ATGGAGTCCTGTCTGTGTTTCCTGTCTGCTTTCAGGAAAGCCCAGTCAGGATAACCACACTGCTCCAGGGCCTGTCGTGTGTGTGATTTCTCTGAAAGCCGAATTTTGCCTGAAACTCTCAGACTGAAGAAGTCTCTCGGAGAAGAGACGAAACGTTTCATTAGAGAAGAACCGTTCACAAGACCTATACAATTTTTTTTCTTTTTAATGTGTGTTGTATTAGTGTCCTGATGTTTCTACGCTTTCCTGTGTGATGATGTGTTCAGGGTCTCTGTGCAGAACGGGATTTCAAAGTTGTCCACGGTGGTTTTACGGGAAGTCCGGTTCGCTGCCTGAGACACGTCCCGGGGACCAGGTAAGTTCAGACAAACCAGACATCACATTCCAGCTGATTTACCTGAGCTGAACTTGTTTCATTCTCTCAACTCGTTTCCTTTAGTTCAAAGCTTCTTTTATGAGATTTACTGTGGCAAACTTAAAGTTATTTATTATATCCAAAGAACAAAGTGGTAAAAAAAAAGAAGAAATGCCTTTAAAAGAGACAAACAAATGTAAAAACACTTTGATGTTTTACTAAGTTATTCAACAGTTTGTATAATACAATATAAAACACACTGGTCTCACTTTGACAAAAGAAAACCAGAAGACATTTAGAGAACACATTTATCATTTATACCACCTTCTCCTAGAATTGTTGTTTTTCCTTTTTTGTTTCGTTTTATGTTGCGTTGACATTTTGCCGACAGCTTTAGATTGCTATTATAAACGAGTCATTGTTAAACACCGATAATAGAGTCTCTGAGTTTCATCAATAACAATAAACAGCAACAGTGTAGGGGGGAATTTCTGAATACAAGTCTTGTTTGAACTGAAGAACCTCTAATTTTATACACAGAGTCTAAAACACATCTTTCAGATTTCTTTCTTCATTATTTCTGTCGTCACGTCAGGTGTGTTGTGACCAGTGACGGGCAGAACGCCGACCTGCAGGTGTGGGAGCTCGGAGGAGACGACAGCGGTGAGTTTTATTTTCCTAAAGCTCCAGAAAGTGATGACGATGAGGTTTAACATGGGAATAAAGACAAACAGCTACAATGTTGTTTGAAGGAACAGCTGGTGGGTCATCCAGATGTTTCACACCACAGAACAGTTTAGCACGAGTCAAACAATGAGATACTGATGATAATGATTTATTATGGCTTAAACTGCAGGAAACATTAACGTCATTTACCACCTTGAAAATAAAAGACTGAAGTTATTTTCTTTAAAAAAAATATTAACTAGTCGTTTCATGATGTTTCTTTGGTGTGAACACAGTTTTTTTCTCTATTTTTTGTCTGAACAAGATCTTATTTTACTGTAGCATCATTGTTTACAATGTAAATCTAATTTTTTGTCTTATATTTTAATCTAGATGCAAAGCTTAAAGGAGCTGTTGTCTCAGCAACTATATCAGGTTTTCATTCACACAGCAGAGCTCCTGTCCTGAAATGACCTTTAGTATTTATCAGTTTGAGGTAAACAGAACTAAAAGCATGAATCTGAAACTTGATCAACAACATATTAACACTATTTCTAATAGTAACGCTATGATCTCAGCTCATGTTCTGTTATTTTTAGGTGGTATTTGTGGTCTGTAGCTGTTTTAAATGTCTCTTATGTAATAACAGATGTGATCAGGAGGACAGGAAGTGTTAAAGGGAGGAATGCTTCAGAGTCGGGCTGCAGGATCGCAGCTCGAGTTTCGACGCCGCCTCAAGTCCTTCACGGAGCTGGGATCAGCGACGTGCAGCTGACTCAGCTGATCTCAGGAGAGACGCTTTATAAACTCGGTAAAACGGTTTAATCTGTACAGCTGCTCGATTCAACCTAATGTTCAGATAACTTTAATGTTTTTGTCACGTTCTTCCAACAGACGTCGACTCAGACGAGCCTCTGAGCTCCTTACAGTTTGTGAGCGACTCAGTGTTCCTGGCCGGCTGCTTTAACGGCAGCGTGTGCATCGCGGACACTCGGACGTCTGCTGCTCCTCAGCTTCATCCTCCACCGTCATCCTCGGGTGAACCAGCCCTCTGGTGGACGGACGCCTCTTCAGCTCCGCAGCAGTCTGACTGTAAGGTGGTCAGGCTGTCCTCCTCTGGACGGGCCGTCGTGTCCGATTGGAGGAACTTGGGAGGAATCGCCTGTCAGGCTCAGCTGGACGTCCAAACACGTCCCGACAAACTGAAGGAAGCCTCGGTGTCGTGGGCTCCAGCACTGGCTGGATACATCTCAGTGTCAGGTCAGCTTCTGCAGACGCACTCACGTTTACCAACATCAAGAAAGAGAGTTTAAAGGGGACCTATTATGCAAAATTCACTTTTTAAAGGTTTTCTTACTCAACTTTGGGTATGTACTTCTTAAAAAAACAGTCCTAGGACCAAACAAATGCACCCAGGGGCATATTTACTCTAAGTAAATGTATTTTTAATGTATATTAATGACAAGTTTTATACTTCTGTCATTTTGTGATGTCACAAGCCGTACGACAACCCACCAGAACCTGCGTTCAGCCCCTCACCTAGCAACCCCCGGGTGAGGCTCCACCTCCTCAGTATAAAAAGCCGTCACCGTATTGTTGTGCAATGTGCAGCTCATTTCATAACAAGCCTCCAATAGGGCAATAGGTAGGGTGTTGGAGCAGAGAGTGGGAGACCAGGGTTTGAGACCGGCATGGACACAATTTAATTATTTATTTTCATTCGTTATGAACACGTTTTCTCATGTGCTTCTATTGTTTAGCTTATTAAAGCCTTGTTAAAGCCTATTTGTTCGAGTTTCTGAGGTATTTTGACCGCTGCTGCTCCCTGCTCTGGTAACAGCATGCAGAGTGAGCGCAGAGCAGAGGAGGAGGAGGAAAAAGAAGAAGCTGCGACCGACTCTGCCTCTGGGTCTCATATGGTTGTACAACGGAGCTTCTGCTATTATTAGCCATGCTAACGTAAACGCTGGCTTTGGAAGGCGGAGTTAAAGTCAACCGATTTTTGGAGGGCGTTACCAACAGAGCTCATTAACATAAACAGCTCTTCTGAACGGAAGTCAGAGCAGGCAGAACTAGAAAATGGGAAATTTTATTATCTGAGAATTATTTTGTGCATTAAATTGAATGAACATGGTCTGGATAGCCCACAGACATACCATAAACATTTCTAGGACCCATAATTGGTCTCCTTTAACACAAAGGCTCTAAATATGGGGTTTAATTTTAACAGCAGTGAAAAGATCACATGGCTTCATTTATCTTTTATTATTGAAGTTTATTGTGGTGCTCTGAAAGTTGGACCAGTCTTCATATATAATATATGATCTACCAACAAATAAACTGTTGTTAAAGTCGGGCTTTAAAATAAATATTTACAGCTTTAACTGACCGAAACAAAACAATTTAAAGTCATCACTGTTCAAAGTCTGCAGATACCCTGAGCATGATCACCAGTTACACTTTACACAACCTTAGAGGTCTTTGCAGGTCAAGAAAACAAAACCTGAGCCCAAACTTGTTTTATAGAATACATTTAGTTATGGTTCCCAGTAGAGACGGGTTTATAATTCACAGAAGAAGAAAAAAAAGGTTGAAGTAGTGAGATAGAATCTAGCAGCAGAGCTTCTGTCTCCTGGAGCTGAATGTGAGTTTCTGATGTCGCTGTGCTTCTGTCTGCAAAGAGAAATAAAAAAGTATTTTATCAAGTCATTTGCCTGGAAGGAAAAGTTTTATCTGGTGCATCTTATCAGCGGAGGAGAGGCTGCAAACATTAAACCTGATGAGATTTATAGTTTTCCTGCAAACGTTCTAACTGTGTGAACGCCATTAAGCTTTCATATTGTTGAGATGATTCATTTTTCTTCTGTAAATTTTCAGTACATATCTCATTTTGTGCTATTTTAACAATTCATATCATTTTCCAGCTCCTTCAGGACATTCCACCTATGACTTTTGGTATTTACTATTTATACTTTTTGAGATATTTATCTTTTTTTTTTTGGCCATTTTTGTTCTCAGAAAATCTTTAACATTTCTAAAAGCTTTTAAAGTAGTTAAACCTTTCCAGCACCTTACACCTTTTATCCTGGTTCTGCCTTTTTAACTGCTTTGGGCTCATTTTATCTTCCTTCACCTTCTTCTTTTTTTGTTAATAGTATCTTTTTTTTCTGTGTTTTCAGCTGTCTTTCTGCGCTTTTCAACTATTCTGCTAAATAAAGGTTTTGTGCTTCTATCAGCCTCTTTCTGCTAATTTAATCTTTTTATTGTTCATTTCAGCTGTTTTCTGCAATTGAAGCTACTTTTAAGCTTTTTTCAGCTAATGTTAGCCTTTTTCAGCTAAATTCAGCTTTTTGTGATAATTGTAGCTCCAACTTTCAGCTGCTTAATTCAGCAGATATGTGCTCTTTCTACTTCTTTGTGCTAGATTTTGTTTTTACATGCTTTTCTACCTTTTTTCCAGCTTTTTTTGGCTCTTTTACATCAAATTGCAAAATTTTTGTACATCTTTTATTTTTTCTGCAAAACTCTTTTCAGCATTAAAGGGGAAATATCATTCAAAATCCACTTTTTTAGCCATGAAATGGATTTCGTTGTGTACTATAGACCTGCAGAAGATTTAAATTTAGTCTCTCCTGGTGCTGCGTAGATATCTTTATATTCTGTTTGGGACATTCTCTTCAGTTTTCTATGTTGTTTTCTGAACTGTTACGTCAAGTTATTTGCAATGGAACTGCTAAATAAGGTTTGGACTTACAAACTACAATTTGGTGGTTTTCATTCTCCCCTGGTTCTGGGTCAGACTCTGGCTCCAACATGTAAGGCCGGATGGACAAGTCTTCCTTTGTTCGCATTTTTAATTAATTTAAAAAAAGTTTCTGCACCGTTATAGTCAAAAACCCCTCTATTAAACCAGAATGTATGGTTGTGGAAGCTGGAGGGGGCGAATCACCTCTTTCTGATTTAAAAAGACAGCATCAAAACGAGTTGATTCATGCTGCATTTTCACAGAAAATGCTAATTTTCTAGTTAAATGTAACGTTTAGATTAAAATCTACTTGAAATAGAAACAAAACCTATCTGGTTTGGTTTGACATGATTTGTGAGACATTGGGCCTCATGCAAGAACATGTTCGTATTCTTATCCTAAATTTCTCTTACTTTTCGTATGAAGGGTTCGTACGAACATGTCAAGTCAGATTCAACAAACTCTTCTATCTTCAGGAAAAGTGTGTAAATGAGCTGCGTAAATTCCACCTGTTTGTATCCAGCTGCTCGTGCACGCGAGAGGAGATTAGCATAATTACCACCCCAAAAACACCATATAAGGCTGTGTTTCCTGCCTCAGATACAAGTGTTCATTCATGAAAATGGCAGCGAAAACTAAAAAAATAAAAACTTTACGAGTTCAGAGATTGAAGTCCGTCTGTCAGAGATCCAGAAAAGAAAATCTGTCATTTTTAGCAGGTCAGCTGTGGAATAAAAAGAGCTGCTAAAAGTATAAACAACTGTGTTAAATCATTTTAATTTATTCAGAAGACACAGCGCTGCGCACCGTACACCCCCCCCCCTCCCCCCGTGCGCGCTGCGCGGGCGCAGGTGGTCTCAGATGCGGGTTTGAAATAAGCATTTTGAAATGTTTTCAAAATAAGTCTGGCACTTTGGAGAAAATCCAGGACTTCATCATGTATCCCCTCTGGCCTGGGAACGTCTTGAGTCCCCCAGGACGAGCTGGAAGGTGTCGCTGCGGAGAGGGGGTCTCTTTGCTGCTGCCACCGAGACCTGATCCCGGATAAGCGGCGGAAAACGGACGAACGGACAATTTATATTGTTAGTCTAAATTATTACATTTAAAATTAGAACTCTAATTGAAGCAGAATAGCCTATTGTCAAGATAATTATGGAGTGTGATTTATTTTCAACTCAAAATATCTTCAAACTAACGAAATATAAAGTTATTAGTGAGGAAAATCAGTCTGGATAACAGCAGACTGACTGCTCGTAAAATATACGACAGGTCTGGACCACTCGTGAATTTTGTTCATATCTGAAAAAAATCTTAGAATACGAAAACATTGGTGAATGCCACAAATTCTCCTAAATCACTCGTACGCACAATTTAAGAACAAATCTGTGCGTACGAACGGTTCTTGCATGAGACCCAATGTGAACTTGAACCTGTAGTTGGTATTTTCTTTTCCAGTGAGGGGTAATAACCAGCAATGGTTTCATTTTAGATCATTTGATGTTTGATTCAAGACTTACTGAGCACTTATTAACTGATGGGAGATCTGAATCCAAACAGACGGCCTGATTATGTTTCTCACCTTCCTCTTCACCAGGTTTCAGTGGAGCTGTTCAGATTTACAACACGTGTGTCTGGAAGACGGAGCTGCAGGACGTTCAGCCGCTGTTCCAGCATCGCGGCCACGCGGTTTCATCCGAACAGACCGACGGCTCCGCCCCCGCCTTCGTCACCTCCCACGTCTGGCATCCGGAGCGGCCGAGGACGCTGCTGTCTGCCGCTTCAGATGGCTCCCTTCACGTCTGGGACTGGGTGGAACCAGAAACGAAATGAGATCCTGTTAAATCTGTGATCACTAAAAGTGCAGCTGCAGAAAGAGATGTGGGTCAGTACGCTTTGTTCAAACCTGTGCTTATCAAAGAAAATTGACTCTGTTTTTAATGGAATAACTCCTGAACACACTGTGCATATATCAGCACTGCTAACGTGATGAGGAGATGATACTGGAATTATAAAAAGAGCAAACCGATGAAAAAAGGCAAAGCAGACAAAACTCTGTAAACTGAAGATTGATTGCAGCCTGAAATCCCAGCTGGTCCTGGTAACTGCTCTCATTTAAATATAGATTAATTTAGTACAAATCACATTTGAGCTGCAGGTTTCACTCACAAATAAAAGGTTTGCCTCCAGAGAGGTTCAGAGTTTGTTGGTAAAGATCTGTGAATCAATCATTATTTTTGCATAAACTGAGGCTGCATGTGTGAGACTTCTTTGCTTCCAGCATAAAGAAAATGAGTGGATTTCAGTTTTTCTCATAACGTCGCCTCAAAAACTTTCTGGAGTCAGGGTGCACAATATTAGAAGAATAGTGGAATGCAAATATTACGCAAAGTTTGTATTCATCTTAATTTCTTTATCTGCTACCATCTGCAACAGATGAACATCGCTTTCAGATTTTATTTCAAAAATCGTACTTTTACACAAAGAATTCCTGCAGATATGAAAGAATAAAGTCTTCTTCGTTTCATATTTTCCTCTTCTTTCACCTGGAACCGAAATTGAAAAATATCCGCAGCAGAAATTGTGTTTCGGCTTCAGTTGAGTTTTGCTGGTTTTGGTTCTCAAAGGGAGAAACGGATTAAAAACAGCATAACGTAAAAATGTTCAGATAATTGGTAAGTTTTTCTGTTAAAACTGTTTACAAGCAGAACAATTTTTTTCTTCATTTTTTTTTTGTTGTTGTTTGTAGTGACCTTTTAAACCCTTATTCTGAAAGCAAACTTGTAATGAATGGACTCAGCAAAGGTGCAAGGACACTTGAAACAGTTTTTGTTTTTGTTTCGTGTCAAATGTTCTGTCGATAAAAGCATTTTTATAAATCTATTAGAATTTTTTTTTACAAAAATAAAACCTTGTCAAGGTTGTCCTTTTAGTTGTATGTTTCACACACGATCATGTAGTTTGGTATCAGACTATATAAATCAAATTTAATTAAAATGTTATAAAAACATGGCCTCAGATATTCTTTGATTAGGGCCAGATCAATCATTACCAATCCTACCTTGATAGGAGGTGAAAAATAAAACTATTAATAAAACTGGGAACTAAAATAACCTTTTACACAGAACTGGTGCTCTGATCTCAAAACATTAAGTTTAATTAAAATACAGTTTAACTAATGTTTTCATTCTGCCATTTTTTAAAATAATTCAATCAAGTTCTATTTTAAAAGAAAATGGGAGTTCTTTTAATGTGCTGAACACAAATATTTGTACTGCTAATAATAGTTAATCTGGAAGTCGACAGAGGTGTCTAAAACATATGAAAGTTAAATGTTTATCAGTACATTACAGAAAATAATTAACTTTATCACAATATGCTAATTTTTTGAGAAGGACCTGTATTGTTCTTACATTTACATATGCACGACTGAGCTCTTTGTTTCTTTGAGAATTTCTCTCAAAAGGCACTTTATAAAGTTGTTTCAGTCTGATTTGGTTTCACTTGAGAATGCGAGCCAATGTGGACAGACTGACTCGTTGAATGTTGCTGAATATTGTGTTGATGTGGCTTTGAATCTCATGTAATCTTATTTTATTTCTTTCCTAAACCAAGTTTGCAATGGCAATTTCCTGTACCCCGGTGAACATTTGGCCCCTTCCTCCACCATGTTTGCGTCTCTCAGTCCTTTAGGGGGAAAAAATTACAGTATATGCCATTCATGAAGTAAACATGTCACCCATCCGATACATTATGACATGACGTATACTATATCATGTGAAATAAATTTTGGTTACATACCCTGTGTTCCAGTCTAAATGTCCGGATGACAGAGGAAACAGTAAAACGGCTCAAGTTGGGCTGCACCCTCTGTCCAGCTTCTTGTCAATGTCAGCCCATGGTTGATGACATGATCAACTAAGGTTGCTCTGATTTCATTTGAAAGTTGTTGTCTTCTTTGGCCATGAACTCCTCTACCAGCTCTACCTCTCACTCTTCCTCCCCCTCTATTCTCCCTCTTCCTTTTCCATTCTCTGCAACGTGTTCCATTGTTGTTGTGAGAGAAAGAGGTGCTCACCCATGATCTTTTTATAGAGCTCCTGATAGGAGTGTTAACAGTTAAGCATTCAGGTGTTTAGCCAGGTGGAACATGTTAATTAAGAGAGCTTAAGAGAAGTTTGATTTAATTTGTTCTGTTCTCATTGTCAACAGTTTGTTAAAAAGTTGATTTTTCAGTAGGATTATAATTTGGTGTTTAAAATGTTAATAAAATTATCTTGGTAAACAAATGTAATAATTATTGAATAGTGAATAAAAGGGGAAAAACATTCTAAAAGTTTGGTTTGATTTTGATTTGATTTATTCATTTCATTTACAAGTTTACATTACAAAAAATACAAAACTTATATCACAAAATAAAATGAAAGGCTGCAGAACGAAGAAAAAAAATCTTATAATATCTGCCCCTTTTTACAAAGAAAAAAAGAAGAAAAATATTAATCTTCTGGTTACAAAAAAATACAACAAAACAGAAACAACAAATAAAACTTACATAAATACCCCTTATTCTAATTTATATTTGATCAATAAACCAAGTTTAATCATTCTTTTAAACACAAAGATCCAGCATTTCTAACATCACTCTCCAGATCATTCCACAGTTTCACTCCCTGTATCGACGTACACCGTTCCCTCAAACATGTTCAAATCTGTGCTTCACAAACATTTCATTTCCCTTTTAAATTATAAGAGCTTTCTCTTTTAACAAAATTTAACTGTATATTCAAAGGTAACATGTTTTTATGAGCCTTAAACATAAGCTGTAGAATACTGTAATCAACCAACTCATGAAGATTTAATAATTCCAATTGACAAAACAATATATTTGATGGGTGACTGTAGTGTTTTCTAGTAATAACTCTTATTGCTCTTTTCTGCAAAATAAAAAAGGGGTTTAATATTGTTTTACATGCTTTTCCCCATATTTCAATACAATATATGAGCTGTGGAACTATTATTGCATTATACAACATATATAGAGATTTGTCATTAAATAACTCTCGAGCTTTGTAAAAGTTGATGCCTCTTTACATATTTTGAAGCATTGTTTGTGGGTTTGCAAGGGGACCCCCTGCATTACCTTACACCTCTGGAAACTGAGCATAATTAGCAATCTGTACAATTTTTCTGACTTTCAACTGGAAAGTGGTTAAAGTTGTGTTTGACGTCATTCGCAGACCCAGAACTCAGAGGTAAATCGAAAGCAACACGAGCAAAGAATATAAATCAAGTCTGGCTTATTTTTCAGCCTGTGGGTTATTTTAACTTCAGCAGCAGTTCGGTTTAATTATTAAACAGCAGCGAGTTCACAAACATCCTTCACAGAACGATCTCCACTGTCAAACATGACTCTCTTCCTAATGATTTCTACCCGGTCCAGCCAACGGTGATCGTATGAAAATACTGTATGTTTGGAAGGTTCTGACAGCCTCTGTACTTCTCTCCCAACAAACCAGAACAGATTTTTGAAATGATACACGACAAAGCTTTCAGTGCAGCCTTTGAGGTATTTCGTGTGATTGCAGGAGTCCCTGGACCACATTTTGCTCTGACGACACACACAGACTCAAAGTGAAAACAAAAGCAGCCGCGGTGTCACGGCTGGTAAAAGAATGGGAACCAAACTGGACATCCAGCGTCCTTTCATACCGACTAACAGACTATAACAAGAAAAACGTACATTTCCACCGCGCTGTGCCTCACCCCTCAGATGAAGTGAACTTCATGCAGAGTTTACCGTACTGCCTCCTTCCTCACCTCCTAAACACAACTTCTCACTAACCCCCAACACTAATGACACCAAATAATGATGAATGGCAGCCCTGTCCTGGAGTGAACTCTAATTTTCTCCAGTGCTTCAGTGAGACTCGTCCACACGCTACTGACCTGTCAAAATAAAAATAAATCCCCCGGTTACATTCAAGGTTGCTGTTACCACAAGGTGCTGAAAACTCACTCTGCGTTGCACAGTGTCACCTTTGGCCTTTTATAAACCGATTAAAAACAAATGTTTACATCTGGCACAAACATGTCGCAGCTGAAATAAAGCGAACAGCTCTAATTACGTCTGGGTAAACATATCCAGTCTGACACCTTGGTGTCCACGTGATCAGAGCTCACGCTCACTTTTGTTGCAAATCAATAGTCATTTATAGTTGATGCAGCGAGTGTGTGTCTGTTTTGGGAGGAGACAGTGAGGGGTCTTTTGAAAAAAACACAAGAAACTATAATTATATTGAGTGACAGAACAGCGAGCTGTGAGTGAACTCTCCGGTGGCCTGTTGGTGCGACAGCCATTATGACAGATGCTCAACCACAATGAGTCCCACCTCCTCTCTGATTCGTGAGGCATCAGAACCATCCTCTCAAGCCCCTCAGCGTCTGTTTGAGAACAGAAAGTTTCAATGGGAATTTGCCCAAACTGAACACGACGCTTAAAAAAGGGCGACGCAGAATGACTGACAGCTAAAAAATGTGGGTTCAACCTGAATCCTTTCTGGGTTTCCGTGCCACCAAAAAATCACACAACCACCTATTTTTCAGTGATGTTAGTGCCTCTCAACTATCACAAGGTCAAATCTTAGCTCAATGGGCCTCGTGCAAGAACCGTTCGTACGCACAGATTTGTTCTTAAATTGTGCGTACGAGTGATTTAGGAGAATTTGTGGCATTCACCAATGTT